AAATTACCCGTTCGCACGCGGCTTAATATATATTCCCTCTAAAGTACGTGTCATGATTTTGAAAATTCTCAGAAAGAAATGAAGATTCTTTTCATTCATTCAAAGATATGCATGAATTCACATGAATTGAATGTGAATAATGAGTGTCGAACTTGTAATTGAATTTTCCATGTTTCAACGCATGATTAAGTATTCAAATACACAGAAATTTGTAGATATTCATTTTTTGTGTTAAGTGCGCCGCTATTCATTCAAAAAAAATAAATATCGAAGCTTCATATTTTTTATTTCTGCAAGACACAATTAAAAAAATGAGAGATTGAAATGCTATTTAAAATATTTCCAGTTATTTCTTGCAGTCTCTTTTCTCGTATAAAAACAGATCTGCATTTCTGCTTCAAAAGCAGTTTTACTTATAAACATACTGCCACGTGACTATGAATTAATTAAATTTGTATACCTACACAGCCGCTATCAATGTACGATGATTGAGATGGAAAATGTAGACGGTTATATTTGTACGCTTATAATATATAGCCGTCAGTGAAGAGAGTAAAAGCAAGTCTGAAAGAGATTATTTCCTCCAGGCGGAGATTGGAATTTACGTTTCGAGATTCGATTAGATCTTAAAATATTTAGATTTAATCAGAAAGTTTGAGAAATGACTGTTTGAACTTCAAGAAAAAGGAAACGAAGACTGAGAAAAATACAGATTATAGAAGCTAGGCGCTGTATTCACATGCGCATGTATGATATAAGTTGAATTCATATACTTGCATCAGTGCATTGTAACCGAGCTCAGAAAGGCATCATTCCAATATCACGTCAACTTGCAGAGTTGTAGTTCTATCTTTCTAACGTCATAAATCCACGCGCTCAAACAAAAACCTCTTTTTTATGTTTGCGGAGCTTATTAAAATGTTCATTCCCCCGCACGCAGTCTCACCACGATCTCACTTTACAAGTTTGAAACGAACAAAAGCTCTAAAAAAGCAAAAAAGAATCAGCGTGAAAAAATTTTCTGATTTCGAAAATTCTACCGCACTGATTACCTGATTAAACTTTCTGCTCTTGAAGTACCATTCACGCGGTTGCAAAAAAAAAAAAAAAAAAAACGAGAGAAGTAACAGCCTGCTAGAAAAAGTAAACCCTCCAGAAGTAAACCCTAAAAAACTGTACATAAGTATTCCGCAAACAAATGGCTGATTCCAAAACTTCACAAGAGTCGGTGCAAACTGGGCTGAAGCTCTGTTACTTCGGATGAAAGTTTCAAAAGTAAAAAGCACCCATATCGCGATATTTTATCTCAAAGAAAAACTTGCATCCATCGTTTTTCCTCTTAATAACCGATTGTTAAATGTTTGTTCGAAGATTTTCGAATGCAGTTCAGGATTGTACACGGCAGAAAGTATTGGAAAGCTCGTCTCGTGTGTGCAAGTCATTCTTCAGATCTGCATCACGTATAGGTATAAGTAGATCAGAGTGAAGGAAATGATAATTTTCACATTCTTCGAAGGAACGCGTAGTTTGGCTTGATAAATGATTATAATATAGCGAGCGGACTCGGATACGGTAGAAGCTTCGGTGCATACTTGCTCGTCGGCTGGATTTCATACCAATAAGTTTGCTATGAGAAATCGATTGTGCACGCCGCAGCGATCAGGCTGATATGTAAAGAAGCGATCTACGTATGTAAGCTGCATCGCAACTCGGGCAATGCTATATTTCTTGATGCTGATCGTGGTAGTGAAAAATTTCACGTAATGGCACCCGTTTCCCTAGAACAGTTTTCTTTGACATTGTCAAGTGATATACAAGTGACATAGCCGTAGTAATAAATACACTTCTTAAAACTTTCGAATGGATAATTATTTCGTCCAAATGAGCATGGGACAAGAAAAGCTTTTAACATTCATCTATCACTTATTATTAATCGTTTCATAATTGAATTTTGTTACGCTGAAAGCTTTTCCCCTAAACTAGGGCATCGATAAAGAAGATTAGTTACAACTCCATTAACTTTAAATTTCAATTTCAAAGGATTTTTTTTTGTCTTTAAACTTATCCCGAAGTCAAAGCTTGAGAAGTTATATATCCTATTCTGCCGGCTCCCTAAACTTCATTATCGAACAAAAATATTCATTTTCACATCGAGCCCAAAGAACTGACGCACAATGTACATACTTTGTTAAAATTAAAATAGCCGATGTATACTAGGCGTTAAAATAATCTCTCGTTTCTTCCCTCTTCGGCTAACGCATCGAGATTTTAAAACTCCATTGGAAGGTAGGCTTCATGGGCTAAGCAGAGACTTTTCTTGGAACTGATTATACTCCGCTGATGTATATATATTGGATGATCTGGTTCAAACTCATACAATAGTCAGACTCGACCCTATAACCCCCCAAGAGACTACCCATTATGCGAGAGAGAACAGAGAGATTATATAGACCTCTTCGGTCTCGAGCCATAGCCTACATATGTATGTGCGAGGGGGCGGGATTTAAAAGTACATGATTATTACACGATGATTACTGCAACGGTTACAAAGCTCGTATCGGCCAAAGAAATCTCCAGGCCGCCCGAGGCATGATTACGTGTCGGTGCTTGTGCGCGCGGCTGAAACAAAAATGCACAATAGCTCTGGGTCGTGTAAATTACCCACTACCGGCTGCTTCTTAACAAGCGAAGATAAAAAAAGCACTTCATCGAGTTTTACGCTATGCAAATTTACTCTTAACACGAGATACAGCGCATTAATTGTATCTCCAAGCCTATATAGTTGGGTAAAACGAATCGATGTTGAAATTCAATACCGTGGCAATATAATAATCGAGTTGCATCATAAATGATACGAAATGAATAAATTGCGTTTGTTATAATTATTTTGTAAAGGTGAGACCGCTCGGCTGGCGACGCTATCTCGTTGAAAAATCTCGCAACTCGAGCGCGCGAGACTGGCCGACGTTACACTGACCCCTACTACTATCAACTACTACAACCACTACTATATTACTACTACTCGTGCCAGCGCGATGTTATGAAACGAAGTTAATCTGACGAGATCGTTGAACTTGCACGACAGCGTACACTGTTATACGTGTATATTAGTAACTCTTTGATTTATTTACTTCATGCTCATTTTTTCCCGTACATTCCCGCAGCATTCCCGAACACTCGAACTCGATTTGTTTTTGCGTGAGATATCGTCGGGAGCAGTTTGACGCGGGCGTTTTTCGTGGCGCACATTCGTGAGGTCATAAAAATTGAAACGCAAAAATATCGAACATCGCGTTTAAACTAACAAATAAGTTTTGAAAAGTAATCGTGAAATGACGTAGCAAGCTTTGTGGTATTTTTTTACCCTCGGAAATTTTAGTATACGTATTTATATAAGTCGGTCGGTGTATAAAAAGTCCGAGTTGGACGGAGTATAGGTCATATTACTTTGAAAAAGACAGAGGAATTAAAAACAGCCGGCAGTACTCTTCAAAAAACAATTTATCTCGAGATCCCCGTGTCATAAAAGTGTCGTAAAACATCTTTATCGCGTACACTTATAATGCACCCTATATGTATGTATGCCATATACGTCTTTGAGCCCGTGGCCAACGAAAAGAGTATAATATTTACTCGTTAGCTTAGGAGTACGAAAATGCTAACAGCAGCAGCAGCGGCAGTGTAAGAGTAAAAATCGCAGTTACTGCGCCGTAATATGATCCCTGCTGCAGCTCGCTAGACCGTGAGCTGCGCATTATGACATCATGGCGGGAAAAAACGAGAAAAGAGAATCAAGACTTTTCATCACGAGAGAAAAAATGAGTATAAAGAGAGAGAGAGAGAGAGAGAGAGAGAGAGAGAGAGAGAGACACACACTAACACATACATGCACACAAAGGCATACTTGTGTAATATTGTATATGACCGATTCTTTGTTAAACAGACTGAAGCAGAAAAAGATTCACAGTTGCAAATGTACTCATCTACCCATCTGGTATGTTGAAACCAATAAATACAGTCAAAATTAAAACAAGTTGGAACAACATGAAGTTATATTACACGACTTATGTACGTGCTATAACGACCTACTTATACAATTTTTTTACTTTGACACTTGCAGATTTACAGATAGAGGTACTCGCCATCTAGTGGCAAGAGCTAACTTTAAATATAATTAAAATATCATACATTTTTAATGTACATTTCATGTAAAAGTATTTAAAAAAATTTAATATTGGTTTTAGTTTTAAAGTCCGATTTACATGTTCTGAAGATATTATTTTAACAGTGTAATTTTGAAAAAAATGTGAATTTTCGTACATTTTTAAAACACCTTGTCTGTTGGATTGTCATGACTCATGAGTCACTGGAGTATCAATCAAATCATATTCAAAAACTATTTTTACAATCTCTTATGGACCGAAATTCGTATCGATTCCAACAAATAATAGTGGCATAGAAAAATCATATTTCTTAATAAAAAAAAAAGAAAGAAAATTATTCGATACGGTCGATCCGGCAGAGAATCGACCATATCTGTATGAGTATAAACGAGTGAACCATTTCCGGCACGTGTATCACGATGAGATTCTGCAGCGCCGAAACTTGGCGTAATTACCGGGAGTGCAGAGAGTTACTAGCACTGCTATGTGTGTGTACGCACACGTATGTACAAACATACACACACAGACGAATACACTCGCGGTGAGACTATACCCTTGCCCCGGAGGTAATCGATAGTTTCGATGTATAAGTCTCCAGTTAGTGGTGGCGGCGGTGGAGGCTTGATATAGATACTAAAGTAGGATATTGTTTCGAGAAAGAAAAATCATTTCGTTGTGCGCAGCGAGTAAAAATACATATATAGCTCGCATGGATATATATTTATACGTCAGAAACGATACAGCGTCGTCACGTAAGTAGCTCCTGTTTATACAATATTGTGTTCTCGATACACAGTAAAATGGCGGGAATAAAATATTAGGCGATATAATTCTTACCGCTATCTTATAGACGTGTAGAGTTACAGCTGCTTACTGCTGGTGCTGCTGCTGAGTATTATCGATCGGACCCTTTGCACATAGCACGCATATCTGGCTTGATGTGTTACACACTCATTGAGGGGGAGGGAAAGAAGGAGGGGTGAGGGAGAAGCAGCTCTTCTCCGTGCGAACCTCGCTCTATCTCGCTCCCTCGCTGATTTATTCTCCGAATGTGCTGGCCTAGTATTGGCAGCAAAACCTGCAAAAGTAACAAGGTCAAGAGTTGAAAGAAGTGACGGATACGTGGCGCGCGAGGCATCGTGACTGATATTAGCCCAAGATTGTGCTCTACTCGCGAGACGACAAAGACGTGCAAAAACTACTGTGAACATCGAATCGTACATTGCCCAAAAATTTGAGCTAGTTAATCGGTGCATTTTCAATTTTTCTTAATTTTTAATATCGAGTAAATGTTTCGAGGGTTGAGGCAGTGAGAAATGTTTTACGCGTTTACTCGCTCGAATGCAACGATGGAGTTAAACCCATATGGAAACATTTGCGATGTATCAGCTGAAACTCGGTTTATTTCGCCGTTCTGGCTATTCGATCGCCTTGATGTACATCCGTTTTTTTTTCTAATTAATTATTTTATTTATTTATTTATTTATTTATTTATTTTTTTTTCCAACGCACCTATTTCTGACGTTTAGTTAGTTATCGTTGAAAAAAAGTATCGATTTCAATAGAAAATTTAATATCGACGAGATGTTAAAAAAAAACAAATTCAATCGACGTTAAAATTAAAAAAGAGAAAGAGAGGCCATAGGAAAACTTTTTCAATTATTCATATTAAAGCGTTGGAATTCTGTCCATCTTTTTTAGCACACTGTCGAGAGTATTTAGATGGAAACATTTTTGCCGAATGAGTTTCGTGACAAGTCGCACGGTGCGCGCAGTATCTATAAGCATGATTAAAATAAGCATAACAAAGCTCCTCCTCGATATACACAAATGAATAAATCTTGTCTTCGGCTGGTAGTTATTATATAGAGCGACGACTCTCGTTGCCGAGGTGAGGCGGTCTAACTCAAAACTCGATAGTAGTCAACAAAAAAAAGAAAAGAAAAAAATGAATACACAAAGGCTTGCACGAAAAGCAAAAAGGTCATCGTTCGCTCGGCTCGTGTTTGGTATGAGTACGTATATGTATGCGCCACGAGCATACATAATCGGGCTGGCAACAGCAACAGTGGGTTATCGCGCAAATTCGATCGGACAGCGGTAAGTAAGCAGCAGCAGCAGCAGGCAGACTGCCTAGAAACTGTAATAATCCAAAAAGCGAGGGTGTTTGCCCTCTATTTTCTTCATTTACAAAGGCATAAAGCAGTCGGCAACGATGTAGCTGTGCGAGTTTGTGAGCTTGCGCCTAATGAGTACACACGCACACGAACACAAACATCTATACGTATTAGATCGTATACGTAAATGTTTCAAGGACGGTCGTTGACGATGCCGAGTCGGTTGTAGCACTTTATTCTCGTCGGGGATTTTCGAAGGGGTTCGTTTCGAACAGCAAGACAACGACGTGCCGGCGCGTCGTGACGCAGATTTCATATGGCAAAGATTTTTCTTCCCCTCCGAGCGAGCACAAATAGCCTTAACAATACGTACGCCCGAACGCCCAAGAAAAAGCCGATTTTCCTTTTTTTTTTCACCTTGTAATTGCGCCTAAGTACGAGTAAGTATATATATACGAGGCGATCGTGCAAATCTACGAAAATCAAATTCCAACTCTATGGCGACTGCTAGTTTCACTTTTGAGATGAATCCGTAATGCCGAAAGCTCTCGAAAAACCGCAATGACCCTCGAAGGAATGTCCCATGCACGCACACGCTAGGCCGTCTAGAATAAAGTCGCGCGCACTCGTGCGAGTTACTTTGAAGTCCGATCCAGAAGCTCAGTATATATATATCTCTCTTTCTCTCTCGTTTCTCTAATACTGCGGCGTATCCAAGATCTAGCATCCTCCGAGAGTTTGTCTATCTCTCTTCTCGGAGTAGCTATATACTGACGGGGATGGTGGGGGGAGGGATGGAGAAGGCGGGCGAATGTATCGCAGAGCTCCGTGGAGATCCCTCGAGGCGTTGCGTGTATCACCGCACGCTACAACTTCTTTGTCCAGTTGTTATGTTCGCCTTGAAATCTGAAGAAAACGCACGAGTGTAAAGTGGCAACGGTCTAGAGGGTAAACACGCACACACCCACACACGGCTAAACATCGACTATACCTCGAGCTTCGAGATGATTTATTATTTCATATTTCGTTCTCTATATCCTGCCCTGCTTTTTTCCTTCTCTGCCACAAGACGCCCGGCGTATACAGCCATGCGAGTACGTATAAAACGTATACAATTCATCGAACTTCTTATTATCGAACGACAAAGTTGCTCGCGTCGAAATAATAATACAACGATAAATGAAGGCTCTGCGCAATATTTGCAATTGCGTTTTATCGTCTTATCAAGATAAAATGAAAACTAATATATTTCGCTTATGATACATTTATACAATACAATAAATCAGAAAGAATCCGCCTAATTATGTGCACTACAGCTGCAGGCTTTCTTGCAGTACCCGGCTTTAGCATTACGTTCTCGAATAAAAATGATAAATATTCCTGCAGAGCGCAAAGCGCGTAGCTGTTTATCCGCGTCCGAGAGCCTTTCAAAATTTATGAAAGCTCCAATATTACCCCCCGTCTCTCCATTTATAATATAGCTATATAATATTTCGTTTCGCGATGAATAATGTAAAAGTTTATACACAATTAAGGCCACCGTGGGTACGATTAGTTTTCTTTTTTTTTTTTGCCTTTTTTTTAATCAAAAAGTTAATGTTACGACAATTATGTTAGCGAGTGTCAAGTTGAAAATGAAATACGATCGTTCGATAGCCATTAGCTCAGAAAATGAAAATACTTATCCGCCCTGAGACGAAAATAGAGACGGAGCAGGTCGCGACGCGATTCAACGCAGTTATACGGCGCAGCCGTGCATGATCATGAATATGTAGAATAGCCGGAATATATATAGATTCAAAGTGCAAGTGCTTCAGACTGTTCGGTTCATGCAAGACGACGACTTGATATACGTATGGCTGGATAAATATTCTTATACCCTCCTGATATTTTTATTTGTAAATTACAAACTATAGTTTTGTCTCATCTGCCCACGTACTCCTACTCCCTAGTATGGACCCTGGTGGACAGTGTACCTTTAGCGCAGTTACGAGTGAATATTTTTAGGCAAGCTTTTCAAAAGATCAGTATGGATTCAATTAAAAACACACATTTATTATAAGTAAACACAAAACGCGTCGTGTATGATACCTAATTTTCGTCGTCGAAGAGGTAAAAGCACGTTATTAACTATCGAAAAATTATATACATATTACTCCGAGTCATTGTGTCATTCATTAACAGCAAAAAGTCAATATTGGCGAGCTATTATTAGCTATTGTGTAAGAATAAAGCGTATGCTCGAATGAAAAAGACAATAAGACTGAGCTTGCGAGTCGTAGAGCAGCACGTTATAACAATGGAGCAAGCCCTTCGCGCACTCGTTTGCGTGAGCATAAAATATGCCGCTCTTTTTTTATAATGCACGACACATGAAATAATAACGTGATTTTCTTAATTGATTGTAGATTGGTCAGTTGCTGGAATGGTTTTGCTTTGTAAAATAAATGTCAAAGATGAAATAGTACCAAATCTTCTTTTTTTTTCTTTTAAATTTGCGAGTTTATTTTTTACGCTTTATTATAAATCCTCTATTCAGAATATTTATTGAGCTTGTAACGCGATTCGCAGTGAATGTGTATGGGCAAGCATATGGTCAAATGTATATTTTGTTTTTTACGGATTGTATCGTACTTATAGTATCAGTTCCTATGTTACTCGAATGACCTACTTGTGCGTGTCTGTTCAGTCTATATCTATGAACGCGTGCGAGCACACACTCACAGATTTTTGTATATTATCTCTTTGATATACATTTTAAGAGGATTTTAGTCTGATTAAATTGGATCCATATGCCATTGAATTATCATCGTTTCTTTGATAATAATAATCGATACTACTCTGGATTTAGCATGGACTGCGCGTCAATATTCCGGATCAGAAACGGCAAATTTTTCCTCGCTCTTTTTTTTTCTCCTTTTTAAAAAGGAAAACGTACATGGGATTCCATTGTGAAAACTGGAGCTCGCACGCGCGCGCGCATACGTACAAACACGTACGTATGTATATAAAATATATTTTTTCATCTTTATCCGAACGCCCATCCAATCGGAAACTGATGTTTTTGGCTTTGCGCCGCATAACAGCAGCGGCGGCGGCACATCTTACATAAAGTTCGCTTACACAGCCCCATCGAAAAGCTCGCCCGCGTGTACACATATAGCCGTATATATGCACGAGCTGTGTGGGGGTGCTACTATTCCATTGATCCCCTCTACGCGTGGTATATAGTGTATCTTGCCGCAAGCTCCCATACCAGTAGCAGCAGCAGCAGAAGCTCCCATCCTGCTTTTCATAAATTTCAGTTACACTCTTTGCTCGGAACGCGCTCCGTATTATATATATATATATATACAGGAGCGCTGCGTATAAGCGCCCAGCAACTGCCGAGGTATGTGGAATAAAAAAGCCATAAAGTCGGCAAGGCTGGCCTCGGTATAAACGTTGCAATATGCGCGCGAGCGAGCGAGCGGTATCGGTTAACGAATAAGTTTGTCGAGAGGAGGGAAAAAAAAAGTTCCGCTGGATTGAGCCGCTTGATTAAATTTTACCGTGCGCGTGAACTAGTACTACGCGTGTTCGCAAAGCTGAGAGATAGAGAGAGAAAGAAAGAGAGCGGCCAAGAGTCATGGGCACGTGCAAAGCGAGCGAACGAGTGCAAACAATGCGAATGAAAATTCCGATGAAATCAACGTCGGCTCATTCTCGGCGATGATTCTCTCGAGCCTCGAGTCGGCTATCAGCTGCGAGTTAATAAAGCAATGGCCAGGCAATAGACTCGTAACGCGTACGCTTCGTAATAATATAATACGCGTGTATATAAAATAATGCTAGTCTGCATCGGCGCCGCCGCCGCCTCAGTCCCGCCCGGTCGCGTATGTGCAGTGTGACTGTAATGTGTATGCGTCGCAGGATCGACAAACATCGCATCGCTCGCCGAGTGCACATATCTCCTTGTAAA